GCCCTGGGAGGGGAAGGGGCTCAGGACCTGGAGCCTCTGGATTTAGCCCCTGCTTTGTGTCTCAGGGCTCCTAGGAGTGGGGCAGGAGGAGCCAGCGTTCCCACTCGGTGGCACAGCTGGATGAGGCTGTGGTAGCCTCCTCCCTCTGGGACCTTGGACAACCAGAGCACCATCTGCCCCATCACCCCTGAGAAGGGATTTCATCAGCTCATGGTTATAGAATCATGGAATGGTTTGGGTTGGAAGGGACCTTCAAGACCATCCAGTTCCAACCCCCCTGCCATGGGCAGGGACACCCTCCACTGCACCAGGTTGCTCAAAGCCTCATCCAACCTGGCCTTGAACACTGCCAGGGATGGGGCAGCCACAGCTTCTCTGGGCAACCTGTGCCAGTGCCTCACCACCCTCAGAGGGAAGAATTTCTTCCTTAGATCCCATGGAAATCTCCCCTCTTTCAGTTTAAATCCATTGCCCCTTGTCCTGTCACTACACACCCTTGTCCAAAGCCCCTCTCCAGCTTTCTTGTAGCCCCTTTAGGTACTGGAAGGTCTCTCTGGAGCCTTCTCTTCTCCAGGCTGAATAACCAAAAATTATCCCTCTCCCTCCTCCTCGCCTGGTTCCCACCACTGCTCCACCAGCCCTTGCCCTGCCTCTTACTGGGCCCACCACCTATGTCCCCATCTCACTGGGGAGCCATCCCCTAGCTCTGCTCAATGTTGGGGCTGTTTCTGGCTCCATCCCTACCTGCTCCGGTTGGGGATGATGCCCCTGTCCTGCTCCTGCAGGTCCCTGCCCATGCGCACAGCCAGCCAGTGCCCCATCCTGCCCCGGTACATGGTGTCCACCACGTGGAAGACGTCCCCACGGACAAAGCTGAGCCCTGACGGCATGTCCTTCTCGAAGTCAAAGTGCGTCCGGATGTAGAACGAGTCACCCACGTTGGACGAGATCATCTTCCTGTAAACTGGAGCCCAGGGTGAGAGGGACCATCAGGGGAAGAGGTGGTTGAGGAGGAAGATGCTGGAAAGGAAAGTGCTGGAGGGATTTGCGGAGGAGCTGGGCTGACTGGGAGCCTCCACAGTAGCCCTTGCCGCTAAGGAGGGTGTTGGGGACAACTTTTCCTCCTATGGCTCTCTCAGGCACACTGGGAACAGCAGGACCTGACCTCCCAGCACACACTGGCTTTGCCAGGCTGAGCCATGGTGCCCTCCCGTCAGCTCTCTGGAAGAGGACAAGGGGTTATGGGGAAGAAGGACCACCCTGTGGGGGCAGAAGGGGCCGTGGCAAGGCCAGCAGCTCTGGTCCTTGCTCGGAAGAGACAGAGGATGGAGAGGCACAAGCCCAGAGCGAGTCCAGTTGTCACTCACTGTCCTGCTTGCTCTGGGTCCACAGCGTGATCTCCTCGCCCGGCGGCAGGCTCATGAGATACTCCACAGCCTCCTCGCGGGTCAGGTGCTGGAAACTGGTGTCATTCACCTGCCGTAGAAAAGCGCTTGGACACAGCCCAGCTGGCAGGACGGAGGGCCCGGGTACCAGTGGGGATCCCAAGGACGGCAGTGCCCAGGGCGGGGTGGGAGAGGGAACTGGTCCCTGTAACCGAAGT